GCCATGGCAGCACTTTATGATAAATCGTTAAATGTTAAATAGCACTGTCCATGTATAACTCATTTCTTTAAAGCCACAATATGCACATCTATACACGCTACTTTCTCCAGGATCCTGCTGACAATGTGTGATTTACAGTGTCTTCTACATCACATCTGCTGATATGTGTGCTTATTTTTCTAGAAAATAAATAACTAATAGGATCTGGAATACCATCAATACTTTCAGCTGGTGGTAAATTTAGAGTGTGCTTATTTTGCTAGAAAATAAATACTTACTGCTAAGTTTGATATTGTGGGTCTAGTTGCAATGTAAGGGCTCAGGAAACTAAGTTTTCCCATAATCCACTGATTTCTTTTGCTGGGGGTTTTTCTCGCACTGCCACTTGGTTGTTGCTGCTTGAGTCTCGTGTAGGTATATTTCTCAGTGACCTTATTTTCCCCTTCACCCTCTCAACTGTAAAGAAATTAAATTGACTACGTCATGAATTTCCTGAAAAAATCTCTGTTAAACTGTTAAATTATTAAATTAGACTATATTATAAATTCTATAAATCTCACACAAATTAAAACATCCCAAACAATCAAACGATGACGTTAATTAAACCAACGAATTTTGTACGAATTACAGAACACGAATTATATACAACGGAAATTAAAGAGAATATATATAAAGAAGAGAAATATTGGGTCCACATGTTTCTGTACGAATTAGGTCATTCTACGAATAAAGTGATGACGAATTACGCGAGGTTGACTGTATAGACAAGGTATCTAAGCATAAAAAGTAAATAGAATCACTAACGAGCGATATCTCGCGAACGAGTTGAGTTACATTTCTAGAACTATAGATACGTGTAGAAGTATTACTGTAGTGGCCCTAGGGGTGGCCAACTACGGTACGACAGACGTTGTTTCGTTAACGCGCGTCACAGTTGTTGGATTCAGTGTTCGCTCCTGTCGTTGTATTAGGCAGGACGGTGATGTCACGTAGCAGATAACAGGTAGCACCAGCTGAACAGAACACAGTGAGATTCGGTTAACTGTACGGTTATAGCTTTATTGTTTTCTACTAGTTAACAAATAATTCCTCGGCGTTCGTATATGCAGCAGATCCGATCACCACTAGATTAATATTGAAGAAGTAACACGTCGCCGGCTTCGTCTTCCTCTCTCACGTTCGTCTTCTCCTCGCGTAGACCTAGGCAGTCTCCAATGGGTCTCCCTCGTAGTCGCTCCTGGCTCTACCTATCAGGAATCCCGTTCTTCTCCGTCCTCGTTTAATTTCCCTCGGACCGTCCGTCCTCGTTTAATCCCGTTCGTCTCCGGTTTGCACCTACCTGAAAACCTGTGCCTCTATCCTCTCGCTCTGCAACGCTTCCGCTCCCTCTCTCTTCTTCTTTTTCCTTCTCCTTCTCCTTCTTGCTACCTATAGCCCTGAAAAATAACGCTCACTTCCTCTTTCTCTTCGTCCTCGGCTGCTTCTTCTCCTTCTTCTTCTTCTTCTTCTTCTTCTTCCTAAACTTAACCTGAAAAATAACACTCTCTTCCTCTTTCTCTTCGTCCTCGGCTGCTTCTTCTCCTTCTTCTTCTTCTTCTTCCTAAACCTAACCTGAAAAATAACGCTCCTGCTCTGCGATTCGGCGCGCCTTATATACCTAGCTGGCGCGCAAATTTCGTTCGCTGGTGCAATCCGTACCTGATAGTACCATGATTGCCTCACCCGATGACGCAACCCGTGTCTGGTACGATGGTTGCATCATCTTATGCAACTCGTTTTTGAGTAAATATTCCTCTCTTCGACAACTTAAACTATTCATTCTATTCAAATCCCCTCATATATTATGCTGACTAATAATACCCAAGCCCGTAACCAGCTTTATATTGGGGGTGGGGTTCGTTTTTCAATGTTGGCAATTTGCTCGGCAGGGGCGTGTACAGGATTTTTACCATGGGGGTGTAACCGTAACCCAAAGTTGCGAGCACGCGAAGGGGGGTCTGGGGGGCCCTCCCCCATAAATTTTTTTAAATTACACCCCCTCAGATGCGTTTTCTGCGCGAGCAAGGGGGGGTCCGGACTCCCTGGACACCCCCTGTACACGCCCCTGCTTGGGCGCGAAGCGACCAGGCGAGGGAGCCAAGCGACCAAGCGGGGGAGGGTGTGGGAGGGGGGTGTTCACTGTTCACCCTCCCGCACGATGGAGACTTTGCAATTATTACACTAAAATGAAGCGACCTGTGGTGAAATTCTTGCAAATTTTCAAAAAAAAAATTTTTTGGCTTGGGGAGCTCGGGGGTGTTCGTTCAAACCCCCCGAACCCCCCCTGGCTACGGGCCTGTAATACCTAACCGCGCAGATTATTATATCCTATTTATCTCGTTATCGCTTTTCGCGTAAACACTCCTTGTTTTCCCCGACCATAGCAGCAGCAGTGATAGCATGATCCAAGATGGCTGCGCCCATGGACGTGCGTGTTGACATATTTATGTGCGATCTATATTTTATCCTCTCTTTAGTCAATATAAATGGTTATTATATCTATACTGCGAGTTCAATCTATATCCATCCTGATCTAGTCTATAGCTGCTCCTGTGAGTTACACACCCCGAAATCTCCACATTACTATGATCTCTCTGAGTCTTGAGTTTATTGAAATGCAATTAGTTTAATTAACGAGTTGAGTTACATTTTTAGAAATCTAGATACGTGAATAATCATATATTGTACACTACATACATACATATCCTTTTTGGGGACAAGGATAGAGAGCATGGCGAGATTGAGAACTATGTAGCGTACGTAACACATCGGCTTTGCTCTCACAACCATGCTCTCTATCCTTGAGCCTTATTTTGTACAAATAACACACAAATTTACTATTTGCTGATGTGATGCTATTTATGGTGACGTTGTCAATTTAATCAATAATGAGTATGCTATACACGAAGAAATAGCGCTAATATGACAGAAATTCTTCTCCTTGAAGGGTCATGGTCATCATGATATCTGTTGGTGACAACTCCTGCCGCTACGCAGTTAGGCGGTGCACTACTTTAGCAGCACAGCAGCGCATTGATACCGGTTAGTTGCTAAGGGAGGTGACGCGCGTTTTCTTTTTCGCCATTGTGGCTTACGGTGAAGACGCAAAATTTAATGTGCTATTAAAACCCTGATGAACCCAGCGTGGTAAGGGATTTGAGTTTATAGATAATTATTAATGTATTTATAAATTAATAGTAGCAGCTTCGGCGGTGATTGCCGTACGTGTATTTGAATTGTATTACCAGAAAATTTGTTGTTCATAGCGAGCTACACAAACAGCATAGCACATACAGTAAATAGTAAATGTGTTCTTTGAATTTGTTTTCAAATTAACCGTTCAGAATTGTTCGTGCGTTCGTTCGTTCAGATACGTTCGTTCGTTAAGTAAGATACGTTCGTTCAGATACGTTCGTAAAGATACGGTCGTTCGTTATGTTATATAAGACGACGTACGTAGGCAGAAAATAAGAAAATAAAGAAGAACGTGTGTGATCCGCTGGTGCTTGTTACGAAGAAAAAATAAATAAGCCATTTAGATGTAAAAGAAACAAAGAAGTTAATGTAGTCATTCGCTACATTAAAGTTAATCACGATATGAACTTTGTGATATCGTGGAGATAACAACAACAACGACAACAACAACAACAACAACAACAACAACAACAACAACAACAACAACAACAACAACAACAACAACGACGACGACGACGACCAGCGATGCCGGGTCACGAGGATCAGGCTGCAGCTGCTGAAGCTGGGACAACCGACCTCAAGAAGAAACGAGGAAAGGCTAAGGGTGCTGCTACGTACGAGACTTATAAATCAGGAAATTACTCTGATGCAGAACAATGACAATGTGCCTCATGTGCAAGACCTTCAGGTCAACTTTGAAGTGTCCGTGCAAACCTTTATGGCTGCTCACGCATCCTACCACCAGGGGCTAACCGATAAAGCTGATATTGCCGAATCGAATAAATATCGAGAGAAGTTCCTGGCCGATGCCAACAGCTTTGTGGATACTGTCACACATTGGATTGCTGATGTATTGTATGTGGAGGCTAAGGAGGTTGAGGAACCAGAAACTACCTTGCTTAAACCTGAACCAATGCTTGGCCAAGATAATGCTCCGACTACACCCGATAGTAATGAGGACGACGATGAGGAGTATGAGCATGACACGGTAAAGGTACTGGAGAGGAAAATCGCAAACCTAGAGAAGGATAAGCTCAAGCAGCAAAGAACATACGAGCTTTTGCTGCGCAAACAAAAGCAGGAGAATGAGCTAGCGGCGCTTCACGGGGAACAGGAACTAATGATGCGACGTGAACAGTATCAAAACAAGCTGAGAATGATGAAATTGGAGATGGAGACACAGAAGTTCGAACAAGAGGTCGGGTCTAAGTTCAAAACAGTAGGAAAGCCGACAGTGCAGTCTACTCCCCTCCAGCCTGCCTATGCTGATGAGGACTTTCATACTCCAAAGGCGAAGGCTAGTACAGAGACGTTTTACATATCAACAGATTCCGCGTCGGACACTCCTGCGCAGGATACCACTCAGACATTCGTGAGCGCACTGAAATTTCTAATGGAGGAGACCCGGAGTCAGAATCAGTCGGTCATTGACAGCGTTACGGCTCCCAAGATAGAAATTCTAAAATTCAACGGAGACCCTCTGAAGTACTACCCCTTTGTGAGGTCGTTCGATAATACAATGGAAGGAAAGACTCTAGATAGCGCCACAAAACTAAACGGTTTGATTCAACACTGCGTTGGCCCGCCAAGAGACCTGTTGGAATGTTGCCTCGTTAAGAAGCTAGCCCGAGCTTGAGGGTACAGGCTAGCCCGTAGGTTGTTGAAGGAGAGGTATGGTAATGAAGATGAGATTGCTCAAGCGTGGTTGGATAAGGTGTTGCAGAGACCCCAACTGAGAGACATGGGAGACATGAGAGTGTTTGCTGATGACCTCCGTACAGACCTTGTCATCAATGAACTATCTTAACGAGCTAGGGACCAGGTCCAGCCTCCGTGCAGTCGTTGAGAAATTATCTGAGCATGTAAGAAACAGATGGAGGAAAAGAAACTTTGATATTAAAAGTAGGAAACGCATACCGAACCTGGATGATATAATATCATTTGTAGACAGAGTAGTGGATGAAGAGAGCGACCCTGTGTTCGGCAATCTTCAGAAATCCACTCTGAGGCAGCCTAGAGATAAATGCTTTGATTTCAAACAGCAGAGGAGAAGGAATGCTGCTTTCTCGTCTGACGCCAAGGCTAAACCTATAGAGAGAACACATGAGAGGGCCATCATAGGAGGAAGTATTTCCAAGTATGTACCCAAGTGCCCTATGTGTGAGGATACCCATTACCTCAACCAATGCGACCGATTTAGAGAGCTTGCCGTTAAAGACAGACACAGCTTTGTTCTGATGAAGAAGCTGTGTGTAAATTGTTTCCAAGCAGGGCATTTCGGCAGAGACTGTCAGAAGAAGTGGACGTGTAATGTTCCTGGATGTGGTCAAAGACACAACCGGTGGCTGCACCTGCCTAACCACCAGACAGCTACAGATACCCTTGCTGCTAAACCCGTGACTACAAGAGGTAGCACGTTCCCAGCTAACAACCAGCCCGTAGGAACAATCAAGTCCCGACCTAACATGGACGTCAGGTGTGCCTTCGCTGGTGCAGGACAGGGCACAATTGGCATGCCCATTATCCCTGTCACCATTCAGGACCTTGGACGCAGGAAACAGACAGAGACATATGCGCTCTTAGATAGGTGTTCCAATTCAACGGTGTGCACCGATAGATTGAGAACCAAGCTAAATGTTCTTGGCCGTCCTGGAATTATGGAGCTAACCACTCTCCATAGAGACCATGTCGAAGAAGAAGTGATGGTTGTAGATCTTGAAGTGGGAGCTTTAAACAGCGGCAAGACGTTCCGACTGACCGACGTAATCTCCCGTGAGAAACTGAATGTGAGCTTAGACAACCGTGTGACTTCATCAGATATCGGACATATGCTACATCTACGAGACGTCACCCTGCTGAATGTGGACGTTTCCCAAGTGGATTTGATAATCGGCTCTGATCATGCACAGCTTCTGATCGACTTAGAGTCTCGTTCTGGTAAGGAAGGGGAGCCAATTGCAACAAGAACTCTACTAGGATGGGCTATGTTTGGCCCTACCAAGAAATTTACACCCAAGAAAGCTAGCACTTACTTTGTCAACTCGACATTGTCCCTGGAGAAACAGGTGGAGAGATACTGGAAGTTAGATGACCCGTTGTACAAAGAAGAGACTGCTCTGTCTGTGAGTAACAGGAAAATTTATTTCTGAGTGGGAAAGCTCAATCCGACGTGAGGGTCCACATTACTCACTGGGGATCCCATTTAGGCAGAGACCGCCTCAGATGCTAAACAACTACAGCATGGCTAAGCACAGGTTTGATTTGCTTGAAAAGAGACTGTCCAAGGACTCTGAACTGCGGGAGACGTATGTTCAGGGGATCCAGGATTCTGTGGAAAAAGGGCATGCTGAAGAAGTGCCTCACGAGCAGCTGGCCTTGGACCATCGTAAGGAAGCTATCTGGTACCTGCCTCATCACTCTGTGATCTATCCACTAAAGCCAGGGAAAGTCAGAGTTGTGTACAACTGTTCTGCCCCTTACCAGGGAGTCTCGCTCAACGATCTGATCTATCAGGGACCTGATCTTATGAACAAGCTGATCGCCGTGATGCTCAAATTTAGACAGGAACCTATAGCATTTATGTCAGATATTGAGGGAATGTTTATGCAGGTGAAGGTGCACCCCGAGAACCGGGACTATCTACGTTTCCTTTGGTGGGAGGGCGGCGACGTCACCAAACAACCCAAGACCTACAGAATGACTTCTCATCTGTTTGGAGGGCTATGGAGCCCTAGCTGCGCCAACTTTGCCCTTAAACGCACGGCAGAGGACAACAAGGATAACTTAAAGATAAGGATGACGTAAAAACTGTGCAGACTGTGGACACTAATTTCTACGTCAATGACTGCTTAAAGTCCGTTGTCTCGGAAGAAGAGGCAGTGAGACTGATAAAGCAGCTGCGTGAGCTTCTCTCACTGGGAGGATTCAGACTCACCAAGTTTATCAGTAACTCACGCAGGGACGGAGTGGGCTAAGGCAGCAGCAAGCTTGGACTTAGAGGAAGAGTGTCTGCCTGCCGAGAGAGCCCTCGGTGTGCTGTGGAGAGTAGAGACCGACCAGTTCGGTTACGATGTATCCGTGAAGGATGTTCCTTGAACTAAGAGAGGAATGTTGAGCTTTACAGGTACAGTGTATGACCCGTTAGGATTCGTTGGACCTTTCATCATGCGAGCGAAGATATTGTTTCAAGAACTGTGCAGACAGAAGCTAGACTGGGATAAAGCGATACCCAAGTATGTCGCGGATCAATGGATAAGATGGCTTCAAGATCCCCCTAAGATAGCAGACTTTAAAGTTCCAAGATGTCTGAAGCCAAGCGACGATGCGTCAGAGAAAGGATTTGGTGCAGTTATGTACTTGCGCATGGTGGATGCATCTTACAGGATTGCTGCTTAGTGATGACAAAGAGCAGGCTAGCACCGATAAAGCCAACAACAATTCCAAGGCTAGAGTGGTCAGCGGCCGTAGTTGCTGTAAAGCTCGACCAGGCCTGTAGAAAGCACCTCGAGTACACTCTGTCAAAATCTGTGTTCTGGACAGATAGTACTATAGTTCTGCACTACTTGCGAAGCGAGAAAAAGAGATTCCAGACGTTCGTAGCGAACAGAGTGGCACAGATACATGAAGGTTCTTTGTCGAGCCAATGAAGACAAGTTGATACTAACAACAATCCTGCGTATGATATCTCTAGGGGTATGTCAGCTGATGAGATGATAACTGATGAACGCTGGAAGCAAGGTCCTACCTTCCTGTGGAGCAAGGAGGAGCTATGGCCAGCCCAACCTGACTTAGGAGACATACCTACCGCTGCAGAGATCAAGAAGGCTATGGAGATTTACTCAACTACAGCTACAGAAGCTAAAGCGACCAAGACGACGGTCGACCAACTGTTTGAAAGGTTTTCGTCGTGGCATAAACTAAAGCGAGCTGTAGCTATTATCCTTTATGTGAAAGACATTCTGAGGAAGAAGTCAGATGTCAAACGTACTGAACCAGTCACAGTGAAAGAAATCCAGAGAGCTGAACAAGCTATTATAGTCTACATGCAGAGAAGCTGGCACACTGACCCTACAAAGCTACAACAACTAGAGAAGCTCTCTCCTGTGATGTCAGCGAATGGAATGTTAAGAGTCGGTGGCCGCCTGTCGAATGCACCACTTTCTGACTCAGCCAAACATCCTGCCATTCTGCCTCCAGATCATCACGTGACTAAGCTGATCATCGAACATTTCCACAAGATAACTGGTCATGCTGGTGCCGAGAGAGTCTTAGCGAAAATTAGACAAACCTACTGGATCATAAAGGGTCGAGTGTCGGTGAAACGAGCCGTTAGAAACTGCATCCCCTGCAGGAAAATACATGGCAGACCTACCCAGAGATAGAGTCACCCCAAATCAGCCACCATTCACCGAAGTGGGTGTTGACTATTTCGGCCCACTCAAGGTGAAGAGAGCTAGGAAAACCGGGGTGAAGAGATATGGGTGCCTATTCACGTGCCTAGCCACTCGATCAGTGCACCTTGAGGTTGCTTGCAGCCTTGACACCGATTCGTTCATCAACGCACTACAACGATTTATTGCACGACGAGGGAACCCAAAGACCATCAGATCCGATAATGGAACCAACTTCGTTGGGGCTAAGCGGGAGTTACATGAAGCCATAAAGGAGTGGAATCAGCAGAAGATAGCCGACAACCTACTACAACAAGACGTACAGTGGATATTCAACCCACCAGCAACCTCCCATATGGGTGGAGTATGGGAAAGGCAAATCAGAACCGTCCGAGCTGTCTTCTCAGGCATCGTCAGCCAGCAAACCATCGACGACAAGAGACTATCAACTTTATTCTGCATAGTTGAAGGCATTGTCAATGGTAGACCACTAACGAAGCTCTCAGACGACCCTAACGACCCGGCACCTTTAACACCGAACGACCTGCTGCTGCTGAGATCGAGGCCAGACTTACCACCCGGAAAGTTTGTCCAGCAGGACACTTATAGACAGAGATGGCGCCAAGTCCAGTACTTAGCGGACGTATTTTGGACCAGGTGGATTAAGGAGTATCTGCCCACCCTACAGGAGAGGCAGAAGTGGCTGAAGCACGAGAGGAACTTCCAGCTACAATATCAAACAACAAACATAAAAATTTACTCGACCCTAACCCTAACCCTAACCCTAACCCTAACCCTAACCCTTTTTTGGATTTCTACGCGTATCCAAATTCACGGCTCCTACTAAACGCACATTTGATCCCAGCGCGTCACTGGCTTTGTGCGACATCTACACATCTCATTGCGCTGTAGAAATAAACATTAAGGCATGGAAAACCGACCCCTTCCGGAAAAGCGTGCAAGTTGTACAAACAGTTTCGCCGCACGTGGGCGACACACCTATCGCTGTACATCATGGACTACGGTGCCTTCCTTACTCGCAAATCGTTGGTGATATATCTGTGGCAACTTCTGCAGGAGGCCGGTCTACATCCGCAAAGCTTTTGCGTCGGCGCCGCCACCACCGCTGGGGACGCCCACCTCAGCGACTGGCTGATAAAGACGCTATGACGCTGGTCTTCGGACTGCTACCAGACGTACATTCGGGCGCCTCGCGCATCTCTATTAGCGGTTGCGAAGAAGCTATGTGAACCCACCTAACGCGCGGCCAGCACACCTGCCGCGGATAACGCGGGCCTGTTCATAACCGTTGCAGTTCAGCCGAAAGCCCGAACCACGATGTAAGCGTGCAAAGGGTTTTTCTTAGTGTCTGCCTATCATCATAGGCAGTCGGTACTATAGCGATTAACACCATACATTCAATATAGGTATGTATTGTGCCTTTAGTAGCATAATAAATAAGTGTTTAGTACTGTAACGTTTTTGCCTTCTTCTCCACCGTCTTTCCCTCTATCCGTGATCGTATACTAGGTTCGGGCGTGGCCGAAGTTCTCCCCGGGAAGTTACGTCTCCCACCCAGATTCTACCAGGACTCGCGGACGAAACTAACAGCAACAAGAGACGTACAGAACCACGCTTTTATTAACACACTACTTACTACACGGGAGAGTGGTCGCCAGTTACAGCAGCGATCCACTCTCGCGTACCAGGACTATGCTGAGTGCCGGCACACAACACGTCGCTACTCTCACTCTACATTCGCATCTTAGCGCACCGGAGACCCACTCCACTCTCACTCTCCCGGCGCGTGCGGCGATGCTCTCCTTGTTGACACCACAATAATTACAATCGTCCTAGCCATCCGACTTATATGGCACCACAAAACAAAGACCGTGCTGATGACACGTCCGCCCTCTTCCACTGTTGCCCGTCAAGAGAGCGAGCACGCTCGCCTCACATCACAATGTCATGCGCGCACACGCTCTCTTGCTCGCGCCCTCTATAACATTAATTCCTGCATGATCACAATAAACGTATAACTGTAACGTTGGCGATAGTGCAGGGATATGACGGGCAACACACGGACAGGATCGACTTCGCCACAGTACCATAGTAAGCAGGCGGCCATACCGGCTTAACGAGGCAGCAGCATCACACCTACATCTATGTGTCGCAGAATCCGTGTGGAATTCCGTGCACAGATGTAGTGATAGACTGGCCCTAATGCGTACAGTAGGGCCAGCAGCGTATTAAGAACAGTGCATAGCCAGTGCGGCGATACAAGCGCCGCGGGCGCCGCGCATCACACCTACATCTTCTCCTAGGCCGCATGTGCAAACTCATGCTTTGCACGGCCGCTGTACGTGCAGATTCGTACCTCTGGGTATACGCCATCTGTCGCAGCCCCTACTCCATTTACCGCCTCTCCGGCACACGTATATGTCGCAGAATCCGGGTAGGAGTCCGTGCACAGATGTAGTAGTGGCTGACTGGCCCTGGCCTGATCTGCTACACCGTCGTCATCTTCTCCTACTCCGGCTTCTACGCGCTCGTCTGGTCAAAGGACGTGTCGGCCGTGCATTACGGAGGTGTGTGTGTGTGTGTGTGTGTGTGTGTGTGTGCGCGCGCGCGCGCGTGTGTGTGTGTGTGTGTGTGTGTGTGTGAGTGTGAAGCAGTAGAATCCGGATCCGGAGTGAAAAAGTGCGGGGATTGCTCCACTCAGCAAAATTGCGGGGCCCATTGACCTTTGACCTCATTCA